AAGATGCCATACAATTCAACATGGTCAGGCAAATGCACATTCTGAACAAAACAGAACTCATGGAACTCCTTCCACAACCTCGAAAGCAGAGTAACTAAGAAAAGTTACATAATAAGAGATGATATCCAAGTGAAAATCAAGTAGACATAAAATTATATATAGACATAAAATTATATATGGACATAACAGTGGTCCAAGATATGAATTCACTTCACGCTCAGTTAAAATGTTTGGCCTGAAGCATCCTGGAGCACGTTAGAGAGGTCTCTCTGAAAGACATTTTTCATGATTGTCAAAATAACCCAAACAACAGAAAAAAGATGTCCTGTACAGATATCAAGGTTAAAAAGGACCTTATGCATTGGGTGGTCATGACCATCCTACATAAGCAAATGGCTTAGCAATAAGAAAAATTATAACCAAGTATTTCTTTAGCTTTGTGAAGGCATGAAAAATTGAAAATGAAACCAAGAAGTTTCTATAATAAGCAAATTTCCAAAAGGCATCTGCCACACGCCAAGAGAAGCATGCTTGAATTTCTTATGCATCAGCTAAAGGATACAACAAAGCAACTTGGAAATATACAGTCTGAGTGGTCAATAATGTTTCTTTAAGACCCATCTGCATTGCGTAAGCTTTATCATAGTCTACAGCTGGAAGCGCTAATAAATCAGTGGACCTAAGCATAAAATCCCCATGATAAGATGTGAACCTCACACCTAACAATAACAACAAAATAAAATTTAGCTTCCAATATCCAAATAGTATTCAAGAAAACAAAATTAGAAAGTTGAAATGAAGTCGGAAGTAATGGATCGAACATAGCAACATTCAGACTAACAAGACTGACGAGAGAGAGAGAGAGAGAGAGAGAGAGAGAGAATAAGAACACCATGACATCAAACATGAAAAAGATGAACCCATTTGAGGTAGATAGCACCTGCCTTAACCCCTTATTTTACCACAGATTGAAAGCAAAATTTTTGACATAATTAAAATTCAAATTCCTACCCAAAAAATGCCCCACTAAACAAGCCTCCCACCTTTCTACACTTTCCCTCCTAGGGAGGTCAACCACAATGGTAGAATCAGAAGAAGAAGGGGGGAAATACCTAAGTTTGACAGATGACCTCTGATTCGTAGGAGAATTCTTCAAGAACTACAAATCAAAAGAATTAAATTGTAAATAACCTGAAAATTTGATACATGATTAGAGGTTAATCTGAATTGGTGTATAGTACAATCATACTCTGTTCAGGGGTTTCATATTTCTTAATCACGCCTTTTGGGTCGAACAGATGCATGTTGCTTGTGCTGATAGTTGTGGTGAGTTTAAATTTCTTTAGCAAGCCCTCTTGCTTTGCCATGATCAAGTTCTCCTCGGACATAATAACTTCAAAGTGTACGGTGGTGTCATCGTTGTGCTCTCTGTAATCCTGCAACCATTAAAATCTATCGTGAGACTCCAAACACCTCGCATACTACAACTTAATAATGTACTAAGAAATCAGTTCAAGAAATCAAACTTAATTATACCTTGATAAATGGGTCCTTGATTTTATCATTTTAATTGATTCAAGAAATTCTTTATAATCTTGAGTCCATTGTCGTATAGGCAGCTCATGTGTATCAAAACATAAATCACTAACGAATTAGCATTTTCTGGTATATCAAAAACATTTCATAACTAGACAGACATCCCTACTCTTTCCAAATCCTTTTGTTGCTCATCAAACTTGATATATATGAAGAAATCAGAATGATAATAGGACACATTCTCACGTGTAACACATCACTTCTAAGCAGAGAAAAGAATGAATTACTACCATCATTTGCCTGCTTAAATAACAAAGGCCGAATTCGAGTGACTGCATATTTGTTGAAGGATTATGAAAAGCAATGGCAGGAAACTAACTAGACACTGTTACCTTATGCTCATACTTGAAGAAGGTAAAAAAATTTGAATGGGAACAAACCTAGAAAGATAAACAAAACCTAAAGGCTCCTTTTGGTACCTCCTTAAAATTGATTAGCTCAAAAGTTCCCACATTGGTGGCTGCTTCTGCTTCATCATTTCTTTTCCAATACAGTGTTTTCTGTTTAACAAGGATAGATGTCTGTATCAGACAATCCTAGAATAGAAATTTAGATTTTTTAAACTGAAATAATGAAATTTGAGTGTTGAACCAAGAGAATAAAGTTCATATTCTTGTCCCACTTTACTTGAGACCAAATTTCAGAATCCAATATATAATATGGCAATATTTTGGGGACACTCTACATTTCTTTTGAAGAATAATCCAATCTGATATACTGTCACTCCAAAGAGCAACTAAACTAGCAGGCAGAAAAATACTCTACATATACTTTAATGGTCCAAACAGCAAAAGGCTATGCTATAGTTTGTACCCTATTGCAAATAATATTTGGGACAGATGTAAACCAAAAGCACCAGCCAGTAGATTATGCAGCTGAAGTGCATAAACAGCATAATATCTACACCCAGTCATAGTTCAAAAGAAAAAGAAAGATGAGAAAATTTACTCATACTTAAGCATTTATATCTATGATCTAGCAAATTGTACCCTGGCAATCTTGTATTAAGTATGGTAACATTTCAAAAAAGAAAATACCAAGAGAAAAAATTTAATGCGAAAATAATTTCCTAATGTAAATCACAATTAATGTATACAAACATATACAAAGTGAATGAAACAAAAGGTTACCTCCAAAGGATCTTTGGTTACAGGAATTTGTTCAGCAACCTTTTCTACATAATGGATGCCACGTTGCTAGGGTAATCGTGAGGAGTCAGGTTATGGGTCCTCCTCTCATTAGTGCCAAAAATATCACTATGACTTTCCCAGAAAATCTAGTCACACGAGAGAATTTCTCCAATACTTGAATTGAAAGATCTCGAGCAGGATCCTGAACCTTTTGCCTCCGCCTCCCATTGTTTTGTATATGACTGGCACTTCCATCAAAGGCACCTCCATCAGTCCTCTCTGAATTATCAATTGAGGGGCACTCATCAACTGAGACTGATGAGGATAGCCCGTTAGTAACAACAGCCCTAGGCAACTTCAAAGAGGACAGAGTTCTCTGTCCAAGAAAATAAAACAAAAACAAAAGGGAAAGAAGAAGAAGAAAAAAACACATATTTCAAATAGAAATGGGGCAGACATGAAATATCAGGGTAAATGTATTTATTGTGAAGTGTTGCAGCAGTTAAATAAAAAAGATTAGATAATTGTTGGTGTAAACTTCACCTGGCCTCCTATTTCCATCAACCAAAAATCAATATAGAATACATGCCAAAAAGAAAAGAAATACTCTATTTTTTGTAACTTTTAACAGAAGCAAGAAATGTTGGAAGGAACATAAAAGCTCTGATCATGTGACAGGAATGACCATCTGGTAATTACAAATCTGATTTAGTGTTTGGTTAGTCAAACCATTTATAAACATGCTACAGCAAGCCAAAATTTTATAACAGAAAGTAAGGCCAGTCTCTTACAGAAAATCAAATGTAAGAACTAAAATTTAAGGTGTGCTCCCATTAGAGACAGGGATGGTTCTAGAAAGGTTATTGCCAGTCAGATCCAACCAATAAAGATTAAAGAGATTCCCCATTGAAGGTGGAATTGGTCCACTGAATCTGTTGAAAGACAGATAGAAGATTTCTATATTAGCACCATATCAGAACATTTTAGCATGGAGATTGAACTGAGACGATCATAAGAATTCTACAAGAATGTACTACATTATTATTTTGTAATCAAGCATGCTTCCAACGAAGTTGACATAATATTAAAAAGAGACCCACATGCATGGTATCAAATATTCTGAAAAGAATAAAAGTTCACTGCCGTACTTGCATTTTTTGAAATCAAAGTAACTACCATTCAACAAAAAGTATTAATTACAAGTCATATTTTTTATAACTAGACAAAAAAATTAATGTTAGTATTAAAAAAAAAATAGCTATTGATTATAAACCCAAATTGCACTCCCAAACTTCAACAAAATGCACGTGTAAGAATCTCAACAGATATGAGGCAACAATAGAATATTTATATTTGAATGAGAAAGTTTCAAGAAGCATCCTAATGCATTACAAACTTCAAACACATACATGCATATGCACAAGATGAAACTATTTGTTAAACAGCCAAGAAATACAAATTCTTAGTGGGTTTTTTGTAAGACATAATTGAGTGGAAAATAACTACCAGAAGTTGAGTGGAAAATAATTCTTAGTGGGTTTTTTTGTAAGACATAATGAAGCGTATGAGGTGTGCACCACGCACCTAAGCCTAAGGCGCGGGCCTCAAATGTGCCTTTCCTACTGCACCTCTCACCTCCAGCTGTCTGAGGCGCCTCAATGTGCCTCACACCTAAGTGTGCACCTTTTAAAACACTGCATCTAATGATTCAGCCCATATCCAAATCTGTCCATTCTTCCCAAACCCCACATCTTAAAATTTTGTATAACTATAATAACCACCATTTTTTTGTGATGGGATAGTGGTTCTGGCAACTGTCTCAGAGTTGATTATTCATATGCACCAATTTGTAGCAGGAAATATGATAAGATGATGACTATCCAGATATTTTGGTGGCACGGTGACACTAAGAGATTACATATGATCCTGCTGTGATATTTTCACTTGGATACTATTTGTCTCTCGAAAAAAAATCATTTGAATAGTATGTATAGTCATGATAATCAAATTTGATCCGCACTTAGTTCACCACATCAGGTAGGATAGGCTTTAAAAGGTGTATCAATAAATTTTTTGGCGTTTCTGATCAAGCAAGGCATCATGGATGTAAAATGAGATTAGCATCAAAGATGAATAAAAATTCAAAAGGCAAGAAATAATCTTCAGTTTCAACTAACTCTAGCCCTTGCATGAAATTCACATTAATAGGACTATATAAACATAACCGGCAACACAAGTGATGTATAAAGTTGATTGTTGAATGATATGAGACAATCTGTATTGTATTTTGAGAAAAGATCTAGAAGAGTCATGACTGCCTTGGAATTAAATTCTTCAATAAACATTGCTTCCTCCACAGATAGATCAATAAACATAATCTCAATATATGCAACCATACCCCTCCGTCAAAATTAAATCCTCAGCTTAAAAGCAATTATTAACAGATAAAAGGCCATTGTTTATGTAAAAAATCTGCTATGCTAGCTAGAAAAAATCCACAAATGTTGCCATAAAAGGATGACTCCTTTTCAAACCATCCCTCTCACAGATACCAATAACTGCCAATACCACAATACTAAGTACAAAGTACTAACCTCCTCATCCCCCCGGCCTTGAGAATTCTGATCCATAGTTGTTAGTTCTTGATGGGATGAGAATTGAACATAAACATTCATTCCCCTAAATTCACAACAAAAAAATTGAACCATAATCAAAACCTGCGGATTGAATCAAGAAAAAAGGATTGCTACCTTGAAACCATTCGGAAGCAAAGGAAATTTACAAGAAATGTGGAATCCACTTATTCCCGAAACAGAAACAAATGTTTCTTATATCTTGATACCTTATGCTTGGCTGAACATTTGTGTAGAACTGCAGTGCATTAACAGCTGAAGGAATATCTTGCATTTGGAGGAGTGCCTGCAGCCATGGCATGCATGTACACAAACTTTTTAGTTCTTGAGTTTCGGATCAATTTCAAACATAATAAATCTAGCCTCTCTCTACCATATAGCAAGCAAACATACCTGATTCTTGGCGCGAAGCATCACAACCTTGGTTACGACCCCAAATTGCTGGAATAGCTGATGTAAGTCATTCTAGCGTAAAATCGCAACCTGTGTTAGAATATTTATACATGGATAACATGAAGGGGAAAAAAATCTACAACTAAAAATTCACACTCACACTTGAACAAGTAAAGCTGTGAACCAATTATCCCATTGTCAAATTGTGCAACCAAATGTGGGATAAATGGGTACCATGGATAACTAATCCAATCCCTCTCTTTTAACCAGCAACCAAATGTGCCCAAACGATTATAAAACTTTGATTGCACTTTTTGTAAGTCACCTCCATCTTCTTTGCAGCTTTTTTCAAAGTTAAATTTGATAGGAGGCAAGTTTGCTTCTAAACTTAAATAGTAATGCCACAATCACACCCATTTCCACACTCCAACACACACCCATAGGGAGAGTGAGTGTGTGAGTCCTACATACATGCACGTGTGTCCCACACACTCACTCTCTCTATGCAATGTGTAAATGGATGTGATTGTATTTAAATGCAGATGACAGACATTAGTAAGACCCAAGAGAAAAGCAGGATATAATCATGTTTTTCTCCTCATATTATTAAATTAAATATAAAAAGACAAATAGAAACTTTACATCAAAACTTGCATTAGAATACCAGTTTAGATTCCATGTATATTAATGGAATGGATAAAACAAGTTGGATGAGTCATTTGGGAACCACACACACAATTTGGGAGTACCATGCAGAAGAAGAAACAAAAGTTCTTATTTCCAAAGAGAAAAGCTTAAAACATCATCTACTTACATATTTACTGGCACAGAGAGAGAGAGAGAGAGAGAGAGAGAGAAGTACCTCAGAAATTTCATGCCCCACATTGCGTACATGAATGACTTTGGAAGGCTCTGTCATTTTAAATGACCCTGAAAATAACCCAAATAGTATGATGATCATACCGGACTGTCCCAAATCTAACAGACTTAGATTTAAACAAAAACAAGTACCAACGTATTGTAATGCACCTAGAAACAAATATATACACTTTACCCGCTCTCAACTATTGTCTGTAAAGTGACACTTTGAACTAAAAAATCACAACACTTGAGTAATCAAACCACATACAAATGTTATGTCTTTAATCTTTCCGCAACTGAAATCAAAGCAAGCAATACAGACTAAATTACTCTACCCATTAGCTAAACCAGGAATATTCATACAATTTGTTTGGACCGATATGGCCATGGGATTGGACTAATAATCCAACGAAATGCATAATCCCATGTTTGGCTAAGAAATTTGTGGTCCAAACTAATAGTTCATCCGGACATAGTATCCCCATATGGAGGACTATTGTGACGTTTGGACTATCAATATCATCCTATAATTCTGAGCGAATTCAAGCATGGAATAGGATACACAATGGGATTGATAATCACACAAATCCAGTCCGTCCAAACAAACATGGCCTAAATCCGTTGTAATTTACCAAACATATACACAAACGAACTAGAAAAGCTAAAAAGAGAGACAATCACGCGAAGTGAACAGTGAAACAGGAATTAACGAGAGAGAATACCTGAGGTGCAGAAATAGCTTACTTGACGAGAGATAGAGAGGTGAAGTGAGACCTAGATGAGAAAGAGGAACAGGAGGGGGAGAGAGACGCCGGTGATCGTCTGAACTAGACTGCGTGCCCTAGATACATCTGTGTGCGTCTTCCATCCATCAAGCAGACGATATC